TTGCCGTATGCAGGCTAGGTCGTTGCTCTCATGGAACGTCTCTTAACATACATACTTCTGTATAAGTCTATGAAGATCAATAAAGTTATTCCAAGAGATCCTATCACTTTGAGAAGCTTCTCTGAGGTGTTGCTTTCAATATTTTCATTACAAACAAAACTAATATTTTATAGAGGTCGATCCAAAAGCATTTAGCTTTATGAAAGATCTGAAAATGTCATGATACATTTGTCTTGAACGTGTGAGTTGAGTTTAGTTTGCAATGAAAATTTTGAAAGTAGTACATCAAAGAAAGCTATCCAATTGATATGAATTCATGATGAATTTGATTGAACTCTGTAAAATTACATTCGAATATTTGCATTAACTTTTAAGATACAATCGAAGAAGTTTTTAATACAATACTGCCTTAAAAAACATGGCAATTAATTTTATCTCATTCTTCAATCCAACATATTTCTTAATGACTTTTGGTTTTAAAATTTTGTAGCCAAGGTTATAAAGAATTCATCTTCATGTTTTTTTATTTTTAATAAGGGGAGATATGGTATATCGAGCAGGGTATCGTAGAACAATGTCTTTCTATGCCTGATTTGGAGAATGCGAAAGATATTATAAATATTTTGTTCTAGGTTTAACACTTTCAAATGGCTTATAGTAATATGAACGAAACAACGTCTGCTTTGCGCTTTGCTGATATGGGTTCATTACCAAAACGAATGTTGGCACCTATTGAAGGTTATGAGAAAGTACCAGTTGTAACACTCGAGGAAGCTGTGAAGCCTCTTGTTAAAATTGTACCGAAAGTTGAAAGAAATGTATTCGTAGTCAAACAAAACTGTCAAGAACCAGAAGATGGTTTAAACACTGACGAATCAGCTTCGATTATGCTTTACACTTATGAATCGATGCCACATGAAGATTCCCTGTACGTGAAACTTAATGAAACTTTACGATCCGAACAAAGAAAAAATTTAATCCCATGGTTTCTGTATCTTCGACTCATACTGACGGCGCTTGATCGACTTCCAACTGAGCGTCGCAACGCTTTTCGAGGAGTCAAAGAAAATTTATGCGCTGAATATCCAAAAGGCAAGGTTTTCATTTGGTGAGGATTTTCATCGTGCACTTCGTCGGTCGAAGTGTTGGAAAATGAACAATTTTTTGGAACGACTGGAAATAGAACTCTGTTTCAAATTGAGTGCACGACAGCGAAGGATATCAAAAAGCATTCATTCGTGCCCAATGAGGATGAGATACTTTTATTACCTGCCCGACAATTTCAAGTAAAATCTTGTCTCAATTCCGGCAACGGGCTTCATATTGTACAACTGATCGAATTAAAGCCACAGTTCGATCTTCTTGAGCCAGCTCCGGTACCAAATCCAACAATTCAACCCAAGAAAAGTTCGCAAGTGAAATCTTCATCATCAGCAATATCAGCAACGGCTACAGCGAAACCTATCGCTGGAGCCATGGAACAACAATTCGCAACAATGAAGCTAAGCACGAATACAAAGTCACGAGGTCAGTACTATTTATGAGTTAGTTAGAAATATGCAAGTAGGAATGTAAAGTTTGCTCAGAAATATAGTTGATAATTGCAAATGTGTTTATTGATGAAGGACTGACTCTTAATGCATGTCTTCATTGTGCTTTCTTGAACAAAAAAATCAGGTTGTACCTGAAGTTTTTTGTTTCACTTCAATTATTAGAAGAAATAGTGATCTTATGAGTAGTCACTAAGTAGTAAGTTGCTTGCTTAGTTGTTCTGTGAAACCTATACCCAAATGCGCGAATGATTAATGTTCAGTAATCGTCTATGTTTCTATTCAATATTTTCTATTACGTTCACCGCTTAGTCTTAGTGTGTAGAAAATTTCAACAAAGATTATATACATTATTAGAAATGAATCGACGTCAAAATAAGAAGTTTAACAATCTTAATGAGGGTGTGGGTGTGAGTCTTCTATTCGTATTCACATCGACCCCCACACCCACCCTCACCCACACCCACACCCTCTTACATCAAGAATGGAGTATCTAATGGGAAAAGAATGCAGATATATATACATGCATGCAAAATAAACAGGGTATGTCTGCTACCATTATAGATATGATTACTGAAGAGCAATATCTGTGTTAAAAAATAGGGACTTCATCGAAAAAAAACGTAGTACATAATTTTAAACAAGAGGTATATTTGTTTTATTCCTATCAATTGAGTGTCGGAAAAAAATTTGTTAAGCAATAAATCTGGCTCATACTGATAAAAATTACATGTTTTTAAAACACAGGTTGTGGGTATGAATTAATACAATAATTACACTCGCACTCGCACCCTCAAAAAAACAGATGTCAGATCCTGCAGGATCCAATAAGGTCTTACTCTTGTAAGGTTTCTTCTATGATCTTGTTACAATATCGGACAATATCTTATGTGTTCATTTTCTTAAAGATATCCTCAGATTTTGATTTGTGGTGTCAGCAAATAATCTTACAAAACTCAAAGATTAAGACACTGATTAGGACAGACTGGATCCTTCTTGTCAGATCTTAACAGATCATATAAGATCCAAAAACAGAAACAAGCACAGTACATAATGTAGATCTTGCCTGTTAGTATCTGATCGTGTATGGTCTGTTCTGTTCTTTCCTTTATTCGAGAATAGTTTGATTCCATCAGCTTTCCGACGAAGAACAGTATCTGGATAAAAGGCTCGAGCAGTGTACTTCATCTTTTTTCTTCTTTTTCTATACTAATAGTGTAGAAAACGGTTATTTTTGATTTTTCATCTTCCTATATTAATAGCATACAAAACGGTTACTTGTATTCCTCATTTTTCTGGGGTGATAAAATAGCAAATCCTATTTATTTTTTATATTTCTATATTGATAATATAGAAAATATTAATTTTTATTTGTTAATTTTGTATACAAATAACATAGATAACAGTTTGTTTTTTTTCTTGTTTTCTTGCATTAATAATATAAAAATCTTAACTTTTGTTTCATGTTTTTCTGCATTGGTAACATAGATAACAGTTAGTTATATTTATTTTTGTTCTATATTAATCATACAGAAAATCAGATTTTCTTTATACTGATGATATAGAAACAGTAAGTGTTTGTGTTATTTGTCGATAGCAATAATACAGAGAATGCTAAGTTTTACCTCTTATTTTTCTACATTACTGATACGGGAAATCGTAAATTACATTGTCTTATTTTTCTATATTGATGATATAGAAAATCCGAATTTTATTTCTTAGTTTTTTATATTGGTAATATAGATAACAGTTTGTTTTATTTCTTATTTTTCTATGTTGGATATATATAGAAATCCTATTTTCCACTTTTCTCTATTAGTAATATAGAAAATCCTAGCTTGTGTTTCTTAGTTTTCTATATTGGTAACATAGAAGACCCTATTTTTATTTTTTTATTATTATCAATGTAGAAAAATAAGAATTAAAACTAACTGATATTTTTATTATCAATTAAAATAAATAACAATTAAAAAATAAGATTTTTTATATTATTAATATATAGGGTGTCCAGAAAGTAACTCCACAAAGAATAGCTTACATATAGATCTCCACCATATTTTGACCAAACGGGCTGATATTTTTACCACTGATAGAGGACGTAGGTGAAGTTAGCATCATATTCGAGTAAATCCTTCCCATATTCGCTCAGGAGAGCGTTCCAAGTGTACCAATCAGCGTTCCAAGTAGAACTCAACGAGCTCTATCTAATGGTAACTTTGGATTTTCCATAGCCCAAACCAATCGTGAGAAAAATCCAAAATACTGCACTTTTTCAATAGGAAAAACCAAACCTACTTACTAAAACCCGTCCATATTCGTCCAGGAGAGCGTTCCAACCGTTCCAGCAGCGTTCCAAGTACAACTCGACGAGCTCTATCTAATGGTATCCTTGGATCAATCGTAATCCAAACCAATAGTGAGAAAA